TAGCAGTGACTATTAATTGCCAACACCTAGTTTTCCAGGTGTTTTACTTAATTTATATACCTCCCATTCTTAAAAGCTCTGGACTGGACAGTCAACAATTAAGATCAACATAAAAAGCACCCTCTCAAAAATAAGAAATCCACCCACACCATAAACAAAACTGACAAATTAAAAATATACAAAATCATGTGGTCACTATATTCATAACATGCCCTCCTCTTGTCTTAATTGTTCTTCTGAAACCTAGGAAGGCAGCAGCTGACTGGACCTTCATGGGAAATTCCAATTGGGACAGCAATTGAAAAAGCTTATTTCTGAAGTCCTTTAAATGATAATCTCATATTACCTCATAAAATTACAAGTTCATGTTTTGTGAGACCATTAAGATACTCTCAAACATGTGACATCTGAGGATGTAGACAGCAACCTCTATGAAAAAAGGTCAATCACTTATGGATTAAATGGGTGCTCTTGTCTTGTAAACATGGCCAGAGAGGGCATGAACTCGGCATAGAAGGCAAACATATCCTTGAGGGAGAAAATGATGCCTGTGTCATCAAAGGAAGCAGTAGTCTCTACCCACCCATCCAGAAGTCATCACTTGAATATGTCCATCTTAATTATAATCTACCGTATATACTCGAGTATAAGTCGACCCGAATATAAGCCGAGGCACCTAATTTTACTACAAAAAAACTGGGAAAACTTATTGACTCGAGTATAAGCCTAGGGTGGGAAATGCAGCAGCTACTGGTAAATTTCAAAAATAAAAATAGATACCAATAAAAACTTTCACTAGGACAGTTGAGAATAAGTTTGATGTTCACAATTTCCTCTTTGAAAGAGACCAGTAAATAGGGAACAAGAAGATGAAGAAAAAGAAGTGTGTTTTTTCACACTTTTCACACTGCAGTGAACAAAAATGGCATAGTAGGAACAGGCTTATTCTCAGTCCAAAGGTTTTTTTGTGATTTCTTTCCTGATTTAAGGGAAATTTGGGAAACGATCTCACTATCATGAAAGGTTTAATTGATTCACTAACCCAAAAGAAGATGATGATGACAGTGGGAGACAGGAGTCACTCTCTCCCTTGCAAGAAAAAAGCAAGAGCCGTTCTTATGATCTCTCTCTCTCTCTCTCTCTCCCCGTAATACAGTCAAGCCCTTTCCAGCACGCGCGATCTGCCGCCGCAGCTTTGTACCTTGCAAATGCAAAATCCCGGGGGTTTTGCATTTGCAAGGTGCAAAGCAGCGGGGGCGGATCGCGCATGCTGGAAAGGGCTTGACTGTATTACGGGGAAAGAGAGAGATCATAAGAACGGCTCTTGCTTTTTTCTTGCAAGGGAGAGAGTGACTCCTGCCTCCCACTATCATCAACATCTTCTTCTTTTAGGTTAGTGAATCAATTAATTTGGGAAATGATCTCACTATCATGAAAGTCAGTGTTCTCTGCCCGTGGGGCGTTTGGAAGAAAACGCCCCGCAGCATATCCACGCGCGTGTAAGGGGAATCAGAAATCCCTGCGTTCAACGCCTAGCACGGCAGAAGAGAAAACGCAGCTGTGAGCAAATACTGGGAAAACCTGATTGATCAGAAGGAAGGAGGCAAAAGAGGGAGGGGTGGTGGTGGACGGAGGTCCCACTGGTATTTGTGAAACACTTGGTCGGCAGCGCTTAAAGTCAACGTCCTGGCTCCCACCCACCCAAAGCCACGAAGTCCCCCAATTGCGCAGCCCAGAATCGCCCTCCCCTCAGGGGGCAGCAACGACGCCCGGTGTTTCCCAAGAAGCTCCGCCGTGCAATGAAAGCGCCCTGGCTCTAGGCTCGCGGGCTCAGAAAACAACGCGAGCCGAAGTCGCTTCGGCTCCGCTCAGCTTCGTTTCCTCAGCCCCAGCTGCTTTCAGTCCGCTCGGGAGGAGGAGGAGGAAACGAAGCTGAGCGGAGCCGAAGTGACCTCGGCTCGTGTTGTTTTCTGAGCCCGCAAGCCTAGAGCCTAGAGCTCAGAAAACAACGCGAGCCGCCACCACCACCTCCTCCCCCTCCTCCTGAGCGGACTGAAAGCAGCTGGGGCTGAGGAAACGAAGCTGAGCGGAGCCGAAGCAACCTCGGCTCGCGTTGTTTTCTGAGCCCACGAGCCTAGAGCCAGGACGCTTTCATTGCACGGCGGAGCTTCTTGTCTCGGGAAACACCGGGCGTCCTTGCTGCCCCCTGAGGGGAGGGCGATTCTGGGCTGCGCGATTGGGGGACTTTGTGGATTTGGGTGGGTGGGTGGGTGGGAGCGAGGACGGACGGAGTCCGTGAAGTGGGGCTTGCCTGCCCTTGCTGACTGCCTCTGCTTCCTTAGGGGCGGGGAAGGGGGCTCATCTGGACCAAGGGTGAGTCTCCCCCTCAGTTTCCCCTGAAGGATCTTCCGTCGCTTTTGCCTTCTCCCTACATCTTCCCTCTGTTAAAAATCCCCCCCACACACACACACACACTTATTTTCGGGCAGATAGATTTCGTGTCTGAGCATTCTCACATGGCAGTGGGTCTTCCCCCCCCCCTAAAAACAGTTAAAAAAAGAAAAAACATATCCTCATGCAAGAACTTTTCTGCTTCCGATTACCCCCATGCTTAAAAGTTGCAAAGGAAACACGGAAGCAGGGAAGCGACTGCCTAGCTCCGGAGCTCCACACCATTTTTTTTTCAGAGGGAAATCTCACTCGAGTATAAGCCGAGGGTTTTTTTTCAGCACAAAAAATGTGCTGAAAAACTCGGCTTATACTCGAGTATATATGGTAATTTTTTTAGAAGTGTGGCACAAGCATATGATTTTACTTCAGCTTCCTTTTCTTTTAAGAGCTGTGAAGATCATAACATTTCTCTTTCATCACTGTCATAACTGCAAATGGTCACTAAATGAGACAGTCACTAAAAAGGAGTACCTGTAATTGCACCATGCTATTGAAATGTTCACAAACATGCTGCTTTGTAATCTAATCTTCTCAATATAGACTTCAAACTGAAAATTCTGAAGTCTCCCATGTTTTCCTTCATCCTCTTTTTGAAGACGACGATAATATTTGCTCTCCTCCAGCCTCACCTCCAAGAATTCTTGAGAGCAGTTTAGCAATTGTTCCTACTAGTTTCTTTAGTATTGTAGGATACGATCATCTGACTCCTTTAGTTCTTTAAATTGTCTAAGTTGTCTCTTACCCTTTGTCTCATTGAGGCTGGAGTTCTCTCCTTCCCCTATTGACCTAATCAGTAGCAGCTAGGGGTCCATTTCCCTTGAGAGAAGATAGTCATAAAATAGCAATAGCACTTGTATACAGTGCTTCACAGTGCTTTACAGCCTTAAGTGGTTCAGCATATTGCCCCCAACAATCTGGGCCCTCATTTTACCGATCTCGAAAAGATGGAAGGCTGAGTCAACCTTGAGCTGGTAACAATCAAATTGCTGGGAGTCAGCAGAATTAGCTTGCAATACTGTATTGTAACCACTGTGGTACCACAGCTCTTGGTGGGGGCAGAATAGGAGCAATTCTGATATCTCATCATTACACTGTTACCTATTTACCACTTTTTTCTTCTGCGTAGATCTACACCTATCTTGGCTTTTTCTTCTAATGTGCCCTGAAAAATATGTTTTAATATACTTCTGATGTTTGACAAGTGAGCCCTCTGTGTAGCCATAGAGACGAGCAAGCAGTTAGGAGAGCATCCTAGATTCACAATTCTCACCAGAGCAGGAAGTAAAGGTTGCAGGCAGAGGAGCTTTAACATATTTCCAGTTTTAACCTTTCCTGGACTAGGTGACATTGAATACAGTGACTTATGCCCTTAACATCTCGTAGTTTGAATACCATCATTTTCCCCACATGTGGTTACCCCAGTGGTGGGATTCAAATATTGTTGCCACCAGTTCAGTGGGCGTGGTTTGGTGGGTGCGCTTTGTGCGTGTGCACACACATTGTGTGCATGCACGCGCCAAATGCGCACTTTGCAAACAAATGCGCAGAGGCGTTTGCGCAGGTGCAGAGGCATTCTACCTCGCCTCCAGCAAGCCTGCACGATCTCCCGATCGCTTCAGCAGCTGCTGCTCAGCACTATTCTGTGCCACACAAAGCAGCTGTGCTCCAAATTCAGCAGATAAAGGTGAGTATGGGAGCCCAGGCGGACAGGTGGGCCCAACAGCAGAGCCATTAGAGTAGCAGAGAGAACCGGTTTGGTCTCCGCTGCTCATCGCTCCTACCGGCTTTCCAGAACTGGGCAGAACCGATCAAATACCACCACTGGGTTACCCTGAAAATAACCTAAAAGCTACAGCTAGCAAAGAATCCACCTACCGCTGAATAGAGATAAACCAAGTGGCTTAGCAATGGAACACTTTATGTTGTGAGTTATATTGGCTTAGATTAGGCTTCTGGTTCCAACTCAGACTGCTGGTTATTACCTATAAGGCCTTCTATATATTGGGTCTTTGCCACCTTGGGGACCATGTCCCCCAGACAGTTTGTATCCCCGGGTCAAGATTATATGTTATCTGTTAATAGAGTTAAAAAGATGCTCTTTTATAAAGAACCATAATTAGGCCAATAGCAATTGTGGGATTTTTTAAAATCAATGCATTTAACATTGTTGCTCATTTTATCACTGTAAGCCAACTAGTTCTGTGAATAGGCAACTTCCAAATGAATGGATAACTTAAAAATTAGATAATGTTCAAATAATCTATTACTTCTGAATCAATATGAACTTGGATTGAGAGTCAAATGATGGCATAAACCTTACCAAATGGTTCCTGTCAATTAAATAATTATCTACTATGCTGAATAAAAGGCCAAAATAGTGTCTTATAGAGGGCAGAACTGCACCCTAGCAAAATAGAGCAGCCTACTAGAGGAGAAAAACCCTTCTCAGCATGTCTATTACTCATCTCACATTAGTCTCTAATAAGGCACTAAAACTAAACCAAACTAAAACTGAACCAAAAAGTGATAATTAAAACAATCCAAGTTTTTTGTTTTTTGCAAAGCTTCACCTACTCAATACTTACGTGACTGAATTTCAGGACTGACTTCAACCCAATTCCAACACAACACAGTAATTATATTTACACAGCAAGCTAAAAAGGGGGAGGGGAGTTACTGTTGTGTGTACCACAAGAGCTTATGACAATGTGTTGGATAAGCCCACACAGCAACAATATACCAAGGTTAAAGCATATTTTTCTTTCTTCCAGCCTGCCAGCATAACTGTACCTTGAAGACCACTTTGCCAATTTAACCGCAGGTAAATTAACCTGCAGTTACCCAGCTAAGATAAATAGGCGATTTCGAACAGGCAAAAATGTTTAAACAAAGGCATCGCAACGAACACAGCCAAAGTTTAAAACATTAAGAAAAATCTAGGAAGCAAAGCAACCTCTTAGTGGTTCTTAATTATGATGGTTATATAATTACTGGAGGAGACTGCTACAGTCATACTCTGCCTGCGGGCTCTTACCGACCCAATTCGTTGCCGAAGGTTTTTCCGGTTGCTCCATCAGGAGTCGGGTATATTTTTTTAAGATGCCGACCCTCTATACTTATACAGAGTATTCGGATCCTTAAGAAAAGGGTTAGATGCGGTGTCAGAGCAAAACAAGAACCTCCATGCCTCTCCCTTACTTGTTGGCCACACACTTCAAGTCCCAAATGCGCTTTTCTCCCAGCGTCGCTCGCCTCCCTCAAACTCACCGCGCTGTCAAAAAAAAAACAAAAAAACACCATAGAACCTTTTAACTCGAGCAGCCGCTCGTGGCGGTTTATTTTTTAAACGCTCCGCCATCAGCCAATTGAAAAGCTTCAGCCTTTGATGACCCGGAAGTGTTTTTTTTCTCCGGGTGGAAGAGTGAAGCTATCCGGAAGTCCTGCGCTCTGGCGAATTAGCCGCGGGAATTTGATGGGTAAATTTGTGGGAAAAATTGTTCTGAAAGCTGTTGGGGGTGGTGCGGGCGCTCGACAGTTTCTTTTTCCCGCGTAATTCTAGACCTGTGGAAGCTCATTCCTCTGAGATGAGGAATGAGCTATACGGGGCGAGGCTGATTCATGCAGAAAGAATTCGCTTCAGCCTGCTGTCTTCTAAGCCTGCCTCCCCCCACCGGGACATTTGGGGTGATCTGTGCACGGCCCGGCCGAGCTCAGTAGGTTAGCTAAAAGGTTAGCGAACACGAACCATCCCCAAAACGTCTTATTTTGCCATCTCTTACTCCTTTATTATGTATTGGTTGCACTGGTTTAAATGTAGTTTCAAATATTTAAGGGCTTAGGTTTTATGTAGAGTATCTTGGAGGCGGTGACCCTTTGGAGCTGTATGCAACGAGATTTCATTTTAAGGTATGCCGATCAGCTTACATTTAAAGTGACATTAAAGTTATTCTGAGTTAATAAACGGAAGAATTAAGCTACCAAAGCTGTAATTTTTCAGGTAAAGTTCTTAGCTGAAAAATGTGCCTGTAGAATTCGGCGTTTAGAATGCCTTTCTTATCCAACTACAGAAAGTATTCTTCTGGTTCCTTCGGCCGAAGATGAAGCAGGAGACTTTCCGAAGGGCAGCCTATACTGTAGAATGTAAGGATTATGTGCATGTGGTAGAATTCAATCCATTTGACTGTGGTACTGCAGAATCACTCATTGCATATGGTGGCAACAATTACGTAGTTGTTGGGACTTGCAGATTCCAGGTGAGTATACTCTAATTTTTAAATTTATGTGGAAGCCTTAATTTGAAAACAAAGACTACATTTTGAGCTACATCTGAAATTTGAGGAAAGTGTTTTAGAAACTCAATAGACAAGATATACCTAAAACAGAAGTTTCCAAAGGATAATTGGTAAATCCATTGCAGAAGCAGCAGCAAAGTATTGTGCTGTTTAAAGACTAATAAATGTATTGAGGCGTAAACTTTGGAGGGCTGCAGTTCATTTCAGCCATTATCCTGAATTCCCCACGAGACTCAGTGATTGGTCTTAGCATCATTCTTAAACAAAATAATTACAAAGATCAAATTCATATTAAAGCGTGCAAGGTAGAATTCATCAAAAAAATTATTTCATTACCCATGAATTGCATAGGCAAGGCATTTTTACAACCTGTATATTAAGTGCAAAAACATTTGTGGCGTACCCAAGAGTAATTCTTATAATCTCACTTTGTGCATTTCTTTATTGTTTGACACTTATGATGGCTATTTCCTCCCTCTTCCACATGTCCCAATTATCTCTGGAGATTATCTTATAAAGTAGAACATAATAAGGCAAAGTGCATGCCTCAACAGACATTACTTTTTTAAATGAGCCAGTTTGTTCCAGGAGGAACAAACTGTCCTTTTGGAATTTCACTATCTAACGTATATAAAAAGAACACATAAGTGTTATATATTAATATGTATTAAATAAACTAAATTACCCATGTATTCATACTGTCACATTGGTTAAAAAAACCTGATAGCATTTATGAAATTTCATAATAAGATTTATAATAAGGCTTCATTTTCATAATACCTCTTGTATTTATTTGCTCATTTATTTATTTTCCCTTCCATTTTTGAAAGATTTGGGCAGTAAACAATCAATACCAGCATAAATAAAAAAGCACCTAACATGCAGTAAACCTATCCATAATACCAAGTTGTCCTGTAATCCTGGAAACATTCGATTCCCAACATTTTTGGAGAGAAACATGCATAGTTTTTAAATCCAGCAATTAATTTTCTTTCAGATTCACTATGTATATGCATACAAAAATACAAGTATTGCTTCAGTAAACTATTATGTATTTCTTCTTAGAATGTATCCTTTGTTCAATGGGAGTTATTCCTAGACCAATATCAGATTGCAGCATTCACTTAATTTTGTTTACAAGGGAAAAGAGTATGCAAGCATCTCATGACGAGGTGGGTTTTATTTTAACAAGCCTATTCATTTGTTACGAAGTATATCAAAACATTACATCTTTAGGAAGAAGATGCAGCAGTGGAAGGAATACAATATAAAACTCTCAGGACTTTTCAACATGAAAGCAGAGTTGATGCCATTGTGTGGAGCCCAGAAACTAGACTTGATGCTTTACCTCCCCATATAAGGTAATATGCCTAATAAAAACTTGATAGAATTTAATTGGTTTTTTTTTTACATGAATTATGCATCCTGCCTTTTGTCTGGGAATTCAAGACCAAATGCATAGTGTACCTCTCCTAATTATATCTCTTCCCCCTTTCCCCAGCAATCTTAAGGTAGATTGGGCTAAGAAAATGACAACTCAAAGTCATGTGGGGAGTTCAGTACAGGCAATCTTCAACTTACAACCATTCGTTTAGTGACTAAAGTTACACCGGCACTGAAAAAAGTGACCTGTTAACATTTTCACACTTACAATGGTTGCACCATCTCTATGGTCACGTGATTGAAATTTGGAAGCTTGGCAGTTACACTGTCCTCGGATCCTATACTCTTCTGGTAACAAAGTCAATGGGGAAGCCAGATTCACTTTAACAACCCTGGAGGGGCTGGCCCAAAATGGTTTTCATGACTAAGACAGGATTAAAACTCAAAATCTCCTGGTTGATTAAGCCTGGTGCCTTAACCACTAGACCAGACGAGCTCTAGTTACGACTCGTCCTCAAAGTTCTGGACATCCCAATATCCCCACACTGTCCATTTAATTTCACTGATATGTAATGTATCAATATTTGTTTGTTCTGTATCCCACCTTTATTATTTTTTTACAAATAACTGGTGATGGATTCAATATGTTTGTTATTGTGTTGATTTTTTCCATGCTTACATTATTTACATTCCAAAGTCTCACTGTAATTCTGGCTTTGAAGCTTTGGATTTTCTTATCCTTCATAGCGACATCACAATTAGACACTACAAAGGCATGTCTAGTCATGATCTTATGATCCAGCCTCATCATAAGTACTATTAACACTCATAAAGATCCTCATCTCTTCTTCAGTAGCATGTTGAGCACCATTTGACCTGAGGGCCCCATCATCTGGAGCTATCTTATTAATCATTTTATTCTGTCTATCCATGCAGTTTCTTGTTAAATACAAGGAATTGTTTATACCAAAGTTTCTTCTTCAGTTCTGAAGCAAAACGTCTTCAAAGAAAAACCAGAAAGTCCAATTGCTTCTTGAAAAAGCACCTTTCGGACAACCATGAGCTGGATGACTGAGAATCTCCATAGACAAGGAATGGTTTACCATTGTCTTCTCCCATGCAGTATGAAGTTATGTCTTTGTAGACTACAAAGTGATCATATCCCTCCATCATCTTCCTGTATTGCTGTCTCCTTGCTTTATCTGGATAGTGGGATGGTCTTCAATCTTTGAGTGACCTGCTGGGATTATATATTTTTGGCTTTTATATTTTGCTCATCTCTGTCCGGGAGAGCCCTCAGTGATAAAGCATTACAGCAGAACTTAGGAGAGATATCAGTACAATAGCATATTTTCATTCTCTTCTGCTCAAGCAACTGGCATTAATATGAAAAAACAGGAAATTTAAAAAGTATATCATACAAGAAATATTAAAAAATACAGTGTAATATTACTTTATCTCAGTCACTGAATGTCTTAGAAATCTGCCCAGAAACATTGAAGCATTAATTGTGGCAATAAAACAGATTGGATAGAGGGATTCGGAGAAAATACTTTACAGCATTTTCATAAGCCTCTTAGTTCATCACTGACACTAAATGCCTGCTGCTGCCAGTTTAAAAGGGCAGAAGCTGCTGTTCCTTCTATGCTATGTGCACAGACAATCCAGAAATACAAAACTGTGACTCTAATCACTTTTTCTAATTAATAGAAGACAATGACACTTTAAAAAAAGCAAATACAGGAGCAGTGAAACCCAAGTAAGAACCAATATCAGTGTCCTCTTACATAACACATAATTTTCAAATAATAAACTCCTATGAACCATTTTTAACTTATCAGTTGCTTGTAGAAAACAAAATTAGCCCTAACTAAAACTCAAATACAGCAGCAAAATGCAGTGCCACGTGGCACATATATACAGCTATCTTGTGTTCCAAATCAAATTGTTATTTACCTTTTGTGTCAGAATGTGTTTTTATATCATCCCCATGTATTTTTCTTGGATGTATCATTTATATCATATACCTTAAGCAGGAAAGAAAATATCCTTTATAGGTGATAAATATTATGCTGTATGCTTTTTTCACTGAAGAACAAGTAACAACTCTATATAAATAATTACAGACTGCTTTCTTTGCTGTGATCTATTATGCATATATACTGATAATCTCTGTTTACCAACTGCCTCATTTAGCAACCATTCAAAGTAACATTGATATAAATAATACATTTTTATGGCCAATCCTCACATTGATGACCGTTACAGCATGCCACGGTCAAGTAATCACTAATCATGTGCTTCCCAATCAGCTTGGAACAATCAGGTAATGTAGACTGTGGAAGTCAAATTGCAAGTTTTGGTCACATGTTTTATTTAATGATTATAGTGACTTACTTAACGACCAAAGGGGAAGTGGTCATAAAGCCTATTGTTATATACTTTTCTGTTTAGCAACATGGACTTGCCCAATTGTGGTTGCTAAATGAGGACTATCTACATTGCAGACGTTTAATAATTATGTACTTTTTCATGATAAGATAAAATAATTTGAGGAAGTCTATAACATGTCAGCCGTTACACAAAATTACAATACTTATAAACTGTTTCATTATATTAGATTTTGTACTGCTGCTGCTGATAGAAAGTTAAGGTTATTCACATCGGACCTCAAAGATAAGAATGAATATAAGGTGAGAAGAAAAAATAAATTATAATAACAAAAAGTGGCTTTTAATATTTATTGATATACATATCAATTTAAATTGCAAATTAAATTGCATTATAATGGGTTGCATTCAGAAATTTTAAATAGACGTAAACAATTGCATTGTATCTTGTATTTTAAAAGGTGATTCTATGTGACATTTTTGAAGCGCATTTGCATGGAATAAGCATGATAGTATTTATTTCAGCAATTCAAAACTAAGTTCCATTTAAGTTCCTTCTAGTGTACATTTTAAATAAAATTGAATATCTTTATAAATCCAAAGGAGATTGAACCATTAAGAATGAAGGTGAAATTAATTTATGACATATTTAAGAAGCTGCTCAGGGTTGCCTTGAACTGTGAGATGGGTGGCATGTAAATTTAATGAATAAATAAAAGGTGAACAGAAAGTACAACTGGATATTCTGTTACATCTTTGGGTAATGTGCAAGGATTTCTTACTCCAGTTGTTCAGTAATAGCATGGACAAAATGTATTTTCCCTCTTTAGTTATATACAGTAACTGAAGGAGATAAAATTTGGATAGATCTCAGTGTTGATAAAGTGAACTATTTCAGTTCTGATACTGTAATTCCTCACTTCAGAATTCTTAGTTTTTCAGTATGTATGTGTGTTTGACCCAAGCTCACGGTGACAGATCTTTGGATTTGAAATACTTCCTTATATAAGCAATCAGCAGCAATTTGAATATAAATGAAGCATATAACCATCCAGATTTGATAGGATGAATAGAAATGAATAAAACAGTGGAATTAGCAAAACAGATAGACTTCACAGTACGATGGCAATTGGGACCAGGATTGCTATTGCTAAGTGGTCAGAAAGCATAATGAAACGTAACCATATTGCTTATTGATGGCAATTCAGGCAATCCCAGTTGACATAATCCCAAGACATTTCAGGTTTTTAAAACAGGAAGCAATAAGAGTCCAATCTTAAGGATAAGCAGTGTGGAATACCACAGGAGGGCAAGGGAGGCCCTGAGCAGGCCTTGCATGAGTTGGTGAAGGGCAGTGCTGCAGAGTAGCGTGAGTGCAGAAGGAGCAAAAGGGAGGAAAGCACAGTGCATGCAAGCAAAGAAAGGCCAATAGGGAGACTTGCAATCTTCCCTGCTTGCTTCCTTGACTTTGCTTGTGGGAAACCAGGAAAAGTTGCAAATGGCAATTGTGACTGAGAAGTTGCAGTTGGTCATATGTGTGAGCAGGTTACCAAGTACCTGAATTTTTGGATCAGGTGACTATGGGAGATGTTGCAACAGCCAGGACTTTAAGCACCAGCTATAAATTCATTGTTCGGCACCATTGTAACTTTGGCAGTCATTGAACAAATGGATTTTAAGCAAGGACGACCTCTATGTCTCATTAACATTTGAACCTTACTTGTAAAATTAGATACAATGTAACAAATTAACCCAAAGTTCAAAAGCAGTGCAGTCAAATTCTGCATTTATGATGCATTGGTTCTGTAGCATGTGCTACAAGAGACCCAAGCAAGAATAAAATAATGGCAATAGCCAATTCCTGTTGATAGTGGGACAGAAAAATGAGAGAAGTATTATTTAACTATTCTAGTGACTTAGATTTATTTATCATTAGGCCTGAAACTTCCAATAGCAAAGATGGCTTTAGAATGGAATTAGTGTTTGTACAGGCTATTGCAGTGTAATTCATAGTATACCACACTGATAACTGTTTGAATAAATTAAATCTAAACATGCCAGATGGTTTCTTTATAAAACTAAAGTCATGTTGACTTTATTTCCCTCAAAGCTACAATTCAAAATATAGTTTCAACCAGCAAAATCCTTAACCTAAATGACTTGAGTCTTGGTCTTATATTTTGATCACAATCTTGCTATCGTCTCTTTACTATGCCTTAAAACGGTGCCTTGATTTTACCTTGGCTGATTTTACTTCTTTTAAAATGCCATCTTTGTCTTAATTCTGTAATAAAAGATATTTCTCCTTTTTATTAACAGACTTTGGAAGGCCATTCAGATTACATTAATGATTTGGTATTTTCACCTAAAGGTCAAGAAATTGCAAGTGTGAGTGATGACCACACATGCAGGTATGTATTTCGTTAGTGAAATATTACTATTTTATATAAATGTGAAAAAATTGAACATGTAGAAATTGATATTTTTGTAGAATTTTTCTACATAATTAGTTTAGTTAATAGCTAGAAGCTACATGCAAACACACAGAATTCTAGTATTTGGATGATTATTGTAGCAAATAGATGATCTATTTTGGCCTATTTGGGTGATGGGTTTTCAAGGAGGCAGTTTGAATGGATTCATGCTGTAAGAATAAAGGACAAGAGTGTTTCAAATTGCTCTTCTTGCTCTTCCCATCCTGTGTCTTTGTGAAGACACAATCTTCTGAGATTGAACATTCAGTAATACTTCTTGAACATTCTGAAAAACTCATTGGAAGTGGGATATACAGTATTTTCTGTTCCTGTCTCTTAGATTATCCCTGCCTTTGTCCCTTATTTTATATTATTTCAGTAATAGGATTATGCAGAACTGTTTTTTAACTGCTTGAGTGAGTATAAAAAATAACTTACTAATTTCATGATTTAGTACAAATGTACCAATTACTGTACAATTACTCATACTAGTATGAGGATGCATCCAAAATAATGTTTTAGTAACATTAGTAATACCAGAAATAGAATATTCTGTTAATTAAAGGATAGTACATAATGTTATCATATGCTTTAAAAACATAAATAATGTAGTAATTCTGCCTTTTACAGAAAATTTGCCAGTCATTTGACTACTTGAAGAATAATATGATATACAGATAAAAATAACATGTAGAAATACATAGCTCATCTCAAATTCAACTACAGAAAATTGCTAAGGATGGTCCACAAAGCATTATGAATTCTTGTGATTTAATGAGGAAAAATAGCAAAACAATACTGTCATCACCATTTCTGGTTGTCTTGAAAACTGAGCTAATTACTGAGTCTCATCCAGTTTAGAAAAAATTATTCCCAAGTTAGTTTAGATATACATGAAATACGTGACTAAAGATCTGGCCTTGATTATCTATTAGCATAATTTTAAGCTGTTGTAGTATAAAATCTGTGTAGCATTTTCATTACGTACACTGATCTGGTTTTTGTTTTAAGTCATTCACTTTATCTTTTTCCTCAAGATTTTATTGAGTGACTAAAATTTTACAATGCAGGATATCTATTTCATCCTCCTTTCATTTTAAAAAGAAACCATGTGCTTCTCTTAGATTCCAGTACATAATAATAATCACATTATTAATTATTAATAGATTTGGAGTTTTAATCCACCTATCAAGTCTTTCACAAGGACCTGGGATAAGCAGATATATGGATCCACCACCAGGGGATTATGATGCTCTGATGTGGTTGTCACTTATACAGGCAGTAATATATACTACCAAAAAGATCATCCATGCCAGACAGATTTTAGCAGAATGGTCAGTCTAAATAACCCATTTAATATGAAGAAGAAAAACCCCCCGAAAAGAATCCTATACAAGACCAGTTGTTACCCAGATCAGCAAGGACTATGGTCAGATATTAGATTTCCTGGACAGCTGTGAACAATTGGGTAACAAGTTCAGATGCTATGATTATAGGACCCTGTAGTCCTATAATATTCCTGGAAGAACAACCAGGAATGACAAAAGTATACTGTGTTTGACAATTAGAACCAACGAAGTTAAAAGTGAATGCTTGAAGCCTGTAAAAGTATCACTGATCAATGATCAGCAAATCAAATAAGATTTGTTATCTTCTTTAATAAGATAATATTCAGTGATACAGAACTGGAAGAGATTCAAAAGATTTTTGAAAATGGAAGACCCAAAAAGAAAAGAAGAGTAAAAGAAACTCAGATAACAATTGCAAATGTAAGGGGCTTTTCTTTGAAGATGTTTCGCTTCTCATCCAAATTTGAAGTCACTTCTTTGATAAGAAACGAAATGTCTTAAAAGAAAAACAAGGAAGGCCAGTTGTCTCTTGAAAAAGCACCTTTGGGACAACCATGACCTGGATGACTGAAAATCTCTACAGACAAGGGAAACAGTTGATACGAACTATAGAAATAATAACTTAGAACTAACAACAGAGCTAGTACAAGCTGGCACTGAAACAACCTATGAATTGATTCCTCCACCCTCGCCTCAAGAAGAATTAAAAGAGAAAATTATATACAGAATTACCAATAGAAAAACAAAGACAGAATTACCAGTAGAAAGACAAAGACTGTCAGCATTGCAAGTAGTGCCCCAAAATGTCCTGATATCTATAATGAAGGATGTGAATAAGGTGCTTGCAAGAATTAAAGCAGCTATCAAACATACTGGTCAGCTTACGTATGGTACAGCAGCAGTGGTTACAGAAGAACTGGGTATTAAAATTAGAGAAATCGTGTTCTGATTCAAAAAGACCATGAATTGTCCATGAAATGGACAATTCCATGAATAACAGAACATGTTGCAGTATAAGGGAGGCAGGAAAGTACTCTGAATATATTCTGTAACTGAATGTGATCTTTATATTGCAGCAAAATTTAAAGTAAATTAAAGCATGAATTAAAGCATAAAGTCATGAACTGTAAAATTGATACAATTCTCTTTTGCTTCTTTGGCTCAGGAAGAGAACATGATCCTTTTGCCAAAATGATTCACTGTCGTGAATTATATTAAGTTCATTTTTTAATACGTAAACACAGTGTTGATTTGGCTTGGAAAAATCTACAAGGCAAGATTTCTGGCACCAGAAAAAAGGGCTTTGTCTGCAGATTATGTAATCAAATAGATATTCTTTGTTTTCACAGATATGCACTTTTTAAAAGGGGGTTCTAATCTCCAAATTTGGAGATCCCAGCATTTGAATTAAACTATTATTTATTTATTTATTTATTTATTTATTTATAGTATGGATTAAAATATAATAGCAATATAAAAAAGTATCAAGAAAATAAAAAGTATTTTCCTGTCTCATTTTTTTCTATCAATTTCATAACCATCACCCACTGATATTAATCAATTAAAATATACAGTATGTACATTCTATCTTCTGTCAATTGCATTTAGGTTGAAAAGACCAGATCTTTACTGTGCTAGGAAGGGGTAACAATGTATAACCTCCTTAAACCCTAATCTTTTTTATGTTTAGAGTCTGGGATTTAGAAGAAAATTTAAGAGCTTATTTTGTTTTGCGTTCTCCTGGAATGAGTGTGGGCTGGCATCCTGAGGATGCATTCAAGGCAAGTATCAACGAAACTGGGAGCTCTTTACAATAATTGTATATAAAACTGAAGCATTTCAGTATTTTCCAGTATTCACACTCTGAAAAAAGTGCAAGCTATGCAGTTAAAGGCACATTATATGTTGCTTTAGAAATGGTAATCTACTTCTTAGTTTAAGCTATTGGAAAAAGGTAAAGTGACTGGGGATTAACTCTACTGCTTCCCTATTTGAGAGGATTTTTAAAAAAATGTATTATCATACTATGATAATTTAATTATTAAAATGGTCTAGCCTCGTTATTTTCAAAGCATCTTGAACCTGTCATTTATTGTCAGGTAAAATAATTTTCTGCCATGCTCTTTACTTATTTACTGTCTAGACAGTCTTTAAGCTTTCCAAAACTCTTATGTAAGAGAAATAAAACAAATGAAATGAATTTTAAAGCCAAATGGTATAAACATTAAAATAGCTCTCCAAAATGATAAAATTTCAGTCCTAATTACGAGTAATAGCAGAGGTATTCAGAGGAAAAAACCTGAACTATAAATGGATCTTTGGGGCTGCTTTAAAAGTAAGTACTGATAGTACTTGCTGAACCCTAGTATTAAAAAAAGTCACTTTGATAACTCTTATTTGAAGGAGGTCTGACTTTCTGGCCTTTGCAATGTCTAATGGGCATGAGAACAAATTTGGGTTGCCATGTTTTAATTTATTGCTACGTTTTAAAACTAGTTGGAATTCATTACATCTAAGTATGATCTGTTTTGTGGATTTATATTGCTAGATGATGTCATGTGCTTTAATCTTCAGTTCTTCCCATATTTCTCATACTTTGTGTTTATGATTTAATGAATTATTGAATTATGATAAATGATGGAGTTGGCCTCATACCAAGTTCTTCAGTTATAATTCATTTTTGAATGTTAGACATAGAAAAACCAGAATTTAATTATAATGATTCTTGATTGCACTGTCGCTATAGGGTGTACAGGATAAAGAAGTCTAAATAACCCCATATCCCAAGAATTGCAACTGACTGTTATCTTTCATTTGTAGTTGATGGTAGCAGAAAAGAATGGAACTATTCGATTCTATGATCTTGTGACACATCAGGCTATCTTGTCTCTCACAACTGATCAAACACCACTAATGTCAGCAAACTGGTGCCTAAAAAATACTTTTAAAATTGGAGCAGTTGCAGGAAATGACTGGTTTATCTGGGACATTACTCGATCTAGGTATCATAAAATATTCAATGCATTTTTATTGTTTCAGTATAATAGATGACTATTTTAAAGGTTGGCTTTTTAAAAAATATGCACAAAATATTTATTATTAAGACTACATGCCCTGTTGTGGCTGTTTGATTTAGAAGTACAAAGAAAAAAAGGAGATGCTTAGGAGATCTAATTTTCTGTGATTATAGACTTTACTGTAAAAGACTACAGTATGATAATTCACATAGTTAACATACTTTTTATGATGCAAAAAATGAATTGCACTGTAAAAAGAATAATTTCAAGAAATCACTTACTGGTTTACAAAAATAACTTCCTAAATTTGTATTTGCAATTAATATTAATATAAAAAGCCAAGAAAAGGAAAACATGGACAGAGAATAAAGATAGGAAAATATTTGCACTGCATTTCTTTACTTTATGCACCATTTCCTTTGTATATGTGGGTTGAATAAAGAGAATTAAAATATCTCTTTTTCTAGCAATTCTTTTTGTACATTACTCAAATCTACATATTCTCAAAAGTAATTTCCATGTGAAATGCTTTTAAAATTATGCTGGAAAGCAACCATTTTGTGGTTTTTAAGTGGCAGCCTTTTTTACAAATAAAGTTGTTGGATAGCATGCACTTCTGATTGTTATCTTAGAATGAAGTCATGCAGTCCAAATTGTGCATGACCTACTTCTCAACAGGAATTAATGATTTGTATTATTATAAATTATTCTCTCTTTTAGTTACCCTTTGGATAAGAGGCCTGTCCATGCAGATAGAGCTAGGTTATTCAAGTAAGTTTTATATAGATATATACTTAATTGATGCATTTGATTAACTGACTTCTCCATTAATCATTGATATAGGACTACAAGGTTTAGCTTTTGCTATATCTTATTTATAGATATAGTTTGCATTTGAGAGATAATTGTATTTTTTTTTTAAGTTTTATTTTAAATTGTTAATATTTTACTCTTTCTGTTATCTAACTTGATTTTTATGCTTGGGAACTCTGAAAATTGTAATCTTAAAACATTGGGGAGACTACATTGAGTCTTAAAACATTGAGCTTTCAAATGACTTAGTTAGAAAATGAAAGTTTGTTAAGAAAATGGGATGAAATAGGAAATAAGGGAGAATTGTAGCACAATGTATAAATAATGTTTACATTAGTTAGAAAGATTGTCATGTCCAAGCCCTTGCTCAGTGCAAGAATCCAAGTTAAGGCATGTTAGAGAAGTACCATTCCAGCTTGAGCACATACAATTAAGTAGAATCCATCACATCTTTTGATAATGTTCACTGTTCAGCTGCATATCTTTTTTCAAACATTCAATCAGAATTCGCGTGCCTATAATTTAAATGCATGATTTCATGTCCCAAAGGGCAGATTTAGGATGCAAACCCTCGGAGATGCCAGAGTAAGAAGCTTTATGCCGGTAATAAAATAAACAAGACTTGCTTTCTAATCCCTGAACTTTTAATTGTCTTTCCTTGAAACTTGTTACATTTTTTTCTGAAACTTTCTTAAGCACACAGTACAGTCCTTGAGGTGGGTCTGACCACAGTATAATAGAATGAAATAATTACTTCCCCAAAATAGTCATAAGTCACTTTTTTGAGTGCCATTGTAACTTCAAACAGTCACTAAATGAACTGTTGTAAGTCAAGGACTACCTGTATTATTGTATTTTGAGCAAAACACAGCAAAAAGATTTGTGCATGCATGTACATACACGTGTTAGCCCTATGCAGAACATTCAGAAGGAGAAACCTAACATCAGTATAAAAAAGCATCCTACTTTAAAGTAGCTATGTCTCTGGAATGATTCACTCAGATGCTTCAAAAAAAAGTGCATGATTATGTATATGCATAGATAACATCTCCCTGTATTCCAACCAAAAATGAAGCCACATGCATACACTGACAGCTGTGGACAGTCTTCCTAACAGCTGCACAAACCTTCCAAAAGATATAGTTTCTTTAATGTCTTGCCTACATTATATAAAATATTTCCAAAAGTCTTCTGAAATGATTCACTGAATTCATTGGAAAAGATCTATTATTATACCTAACTCTCCCATTGAAATGATGAAATTTAGAAGTGTTTAATTTTGATTTTTTCACAATTATATTGAACATAATCTATTTTAAAATTTTGTTTAGATTCTCTTTTTGTCTTTAGATGGTCCCGAGTGAATGAAAATTTGTTCGCTACTACTGGCTATCCAGGAAAAATGATCAGTCAACTTCTGGTTCATCATTTAGGTCATCCTCAGGTAAATTTATGAAAAATCAAAAATGTAAAATCCACTTTTTAAAAATTTCTGTACAATTTTGTCTTTAAGCAACTTATTATGATTACATGACAAATCAAATGTAATCCAATGTGGGAAATTTTCTTTTATTTACTTCTCACTTGGATTTCATATGCTTTGAATCTACTTTATCAGAACATCTCAAGGAAAACTGCATTTGCACGGTCAAAATAAAAAAAAATATAGGCTGGAATTCAGAAAGTTACTTTAGACATGTTCTCTTTAAAGACTTAAGCATGCTTGTAAGGACTTTTTTAGTTTACTGCTTTTAAACATTAGATTCTCATGATGCAGTGGACAATGTTCTTGGTAATAGCTTCAGTTTTAAAAAACAATGTATTAAAAGCCATGGAAATTGGCAGCTTAAGAAGCAAAATCCCTTTTAGATTCTGGTTGTAGGGGATTTGCTGAGGACATTTGGAGCATATGAAAATATATTCTAGGTTCACCTGGCTTTAATAGTTTTAATAGGCAAGCTGTACAATTTAAGACATATAGTATTACTAATAATTAAATTTGTGTCATGATTGTGTTTTCTTAAAATAGTACTAAACTAGTAAAATTTGGCCTCTGGCTTACCATATGAGTTGAAATGATTACAAAATAGATTTGGAAAGCAAAGCTGAGTCTACTGGAAAAGACTTGAGAATAAATTATTCTATCTCAATCCTCTGAACTCAAAAGGAACTCGAGGATGAAGATAATTAAAATCATATCTGTGTATCTTATACATGGTATGCATTGCACAAATTTGATTCTGATGTCCAGTGGATTTGATTTCCAGAAAGCAATAATGAGAACCAGTTAAAAGAATAATCTAAGGTAATACCTTATAAGAGAGTTGAATTTCACAAAATTCTTTATCTGGTAGAATGAATATTAGAAGCTACAAAAGTAGCATAGTGCTTATACTTTCATTTAATGTAAATCATATAATAGAAGAACTTCTATAGATCTCAGTGTAGCTACACATTGATTTAGCAAGACATTTCTGTCTTCCTCCTGATTTTCTAAGTTCTAAGTCTAAAAGAGTGCATTTCTTAAAATGATGTATTCTATGATATATTATGACTGATTTTGCTGATTTTCATCTTTACCAGAGAAAATGAGAAAAAGTATTTAGTCACCAAGAGCGGCAGAGCAAAATGTTTACAAACATCATCTGTTCTTAAAGTTTAGCTGTCAGAGTAAACTATATTTGGAATGTGATGTAAAGGGGATAGGTTATGACAAAGGTAAATCTAGGTATTACTGTGGAAAAACAGTAAAGCAATTAAATGAAAGTGCTGGCTTCTAGATGCAGTGTCAGGTCTTTAAAAGATTAGGAGGACTGTCTCAATTTATCTTTGAATTTACCTTCATGCACTGACAGTAGATTATTATTTTTACTTGTATAGCTTATTCTTTGTCCAAAGCATTAATTTTGTAGCTTTTAGTTTCAAATTTAGAAGCAAACTATCTTGACATTTAGAAATTCTGAACTTATATCCAATTCCAGTGATGATTGCTGGGTCACAGCCAGGGGTGGGATTCTACCAGTTCGCACCTATTCACTAGAATCGGTTGTTAACATTCTAAGCAGTTCGGAGAACTGGTTGTTAGAAGAAATTACTGGCACAATCCTGTCAGGAAGGCAGGAAGGAAACATTCTGCTGTTGCTTACAGAAACTGCCTCTCCATTAACCCTTATTGCATTCTTGGCAGGACTAGGCTTCCTGTCTCAGGAATGTCTCAAGTTTTTTCCCACTCCTTTGCTGGTACTTTGCTTGTGTGGAGTGACATTCAAAGTTACAATGGCACTGAAAAAAGTGATTTATGACCATTTTTCACACTTACAACTGTTGCAGCATCCCCACAGTCATGAGAGGTCAGGCGAGGAGATGCGTGCCTCGATGTGAGTGATATTGAGTTGGCCACGCCCAGCCAATAACATGACCACCAAGCCATGTCCACCCAGTCACATGTCCACCAAGCCACTCCCACCAACTAAGTCACGCCCACAGAACCGTTTGTTAAAAAATTTGAATCCTACCCCTGGTCACAGCCCAACAGCTAAAAAGTATTTTGAAATTTTCTTTTGAAGTTGTCTTACTATATGCTAGATTTTAATTAGAAAGAATAACTAAACTAATTCACCTTTATTGTCTCTACAGCCTATCCTTATTGGTTCTGCACCCTTAGGATCTGGTTTAACCTGGCATAGGACCCTTCCACTATGTGCCATGGGAGGAGATCATAAAGTATATTTTTGGGTGACTGAAATATAAAAAAAAACAACTACTGTATAGTAGTTTAAAGTATAAGATAATAATTAAGGGAAGGAAGAGTTGAAATAATATAGTTGGCTTATTTTATACTTTTTTTATAGAAACATTGCTTTTGATTGAAGTTCTGCAGATTTTAGACTTTTTTTCTAGTTTTAGAAGTGCAGCTGAATTTAACAGGGCATTGTACTCAACATTTTCTGTGCAAATCTTGTTGAAATAATCTCTTGTGCAAATTTTCATAAGTTTAAAAGGAAGTGCAGCCAAGAAAAACAGTTCAAATAGATTGCCTATATGGAAAGATATACACTTTGATATCATTACCAAAATGTTGGTTCAGATCCCATCTCAGCCTATAATGTTCATTGACAAAGCATAGCAAAAATCTGTAAAAGTGAATATTTCTTAATAAAAATTGATTCCTGAGATGAATGTGTACATCTGTGATATCATGAAGTGCTATGCCAACTGTAGATAGTGAGACATGATATGGTTGCAATAAATAATCTCAATTATTGGCTGGTAACTTTTATAACTGAATATATTGAGAAAAAAGACAAATCCAAAACAGGAACAAAGAGGTCAATTTCTACAATGAAATTAAATTGTATACCTAACAGATGTTAAGAACCTTTTTTTTTGTCATGATAAACTAAAACTCAAGTTTTTCCAGGTTTCTAAATGAGCAAAATGTATCCTTCAGTTGCTTAAAAATTAAAAATGTCCATAAATTTCCATTCTTCTGATTAGGACCTGCACAAGACAATGTTTTTGAAAATGCAACTGTAATAAAAATGTAAAAGGGATTTTTCACAACTGCAAATTCAAACTTATTTATTTCATATGTATGTTGATAGTATGTGATGGGAAGGATTCTTACAAACTGTTATGATACAAATCAGACACAAAAATGTTTTTAATTAAGCATGTTTTAAATAAATTTGCTTTTCTAAATAACAGTGTGTCAATATTTTATTTCGCATTAAAATTAAAATGACTATTAGATGTCTGATGTTGCCCAAATATAAAGACTGCAAGAAGTGAAACAAATATTCGGTAAATATATATTGAGGGCACTTATTTTATTCAAATGTTAATGTTTTTTTTGCTACAATGGATTTCCATCTGTCCTTTTATATAACAAAAACAAAAATAAATTGCACCGCAAAGCTTCAACAAACCTTAAAAATACAAACAGTTTGTTCTTCCTAAAAGCTACCAGTATTAATGAGCTAAAACTGTGTGAAAGATTTGTAAAAAAAATTAACTGGAAAATAATGGCTTTGTAATCAATGGCTCTACTTCAAAAATCCATTTTATTTATCTGCTTTAATTAAATCATTAGCTTATCTGTTAGAGTTTTTGAAGTACATTAACAAACTTCCTGGGATATTTCTTTTTGCACAGTATTTCACCTTTAAATCATCCTTTTCTTTGCAATTTTTGTACATGTCAAAGCATTAAATCTTTAAAATTAAGAGTCATTGATAGATGTGCCCTCCACAAATACACTAAATCCCATTTAAAATCCATTGTAGTGGCCATTAAGACATCTTATTTTTTTGATCAGTTGGCAATGTACTGTATATAAAAACAAATTTCAATTCATAGCTGCTAAATTTATTCAAAAGCCTCCGATGAGAAATTTTATCAATGACTTCTTGAAAATCATAGTGTGCATAGGGTAATTTGTTTCCTCTGTGTGCAAAGGATGTTTTCTTTGATCACAATTTCTATCAATTAGCCATTTATTTATGCCTGCATGCATTTCCATGTAACTATGGATGTTAACTTTTTATTTATTTTTATTCATTTATTTATTTTGTCAAGCGATTATAAGACTTATAAAAAAACAATAGGACAGGGACGTTAGGCATGTCGGTGCGCTTATGCACGCCCCCTACAGACCTCTTAGGAAAGGGGTGAGGTCAATAGTAGACAGTCTAAGGTTAAAGTTTTTAGGGTTTGGGGAAGAAACTACAGAGTCAGGTAGAGTATTCCAGACATTGACCACTCTTGCTGAAGTCGTATTTCCTGCAATCAAGTTTGGTGCGGTTAACCTTGAGTTTGTATCCATTGTGTGCTCTTGTATTGTTATGGTTGAAGCTGAAGTATTCATTGACAGGTAGGACATTGCAATATATAATTTTATATACTATACTTAGATCGGACCGAAGGCGGCATAGTTCTAGGTTTTCTAGGTCTAGAATTTCAAGTCTGGTGGCATAAGGTATTCTGCAACGAGTAGAGGAGTGGAGATCTCTTCTTGTGAAATATTTCTGGACTTTCTCAATTGTATTAATATCAGATATGTAATGCAGGTTCCAGACTGATGAGCTGTATTCAAGTATTGGTCTAGCAAATGTTTTGTATGCCCTGGTTAGTAGTGTGATATTACCAGAGAAAAAACTACGTATGATTAGGTTAACGACTCTTAATGCCTTTTTGGCTATGTAGTTACAGTGGGCTCTAGCACGTAGATCATTTCCTCATTCAGATAAAAGTTTGGGCCTGTCACAATACACCCAGGTTGACTACAGCAACCTTTGGTATTATCCAAGATATGAAAATCTGAGCCAGACTTCCACCAAACACCTACCCACAGATACCACTCCTAATTGTAGACCATTTCAAATTATTTGTCTTATTTTGAATTTTTAAAAAAAATCATGTTTTAATGCAGGATGGATGGATGGATGGATGGATTGAACTATATGCTGCCAATCTCCCCAAAAAGGCAACTCAGGGTGGCTTGCCCAAAGTTCACTTTCGCTTTGCACCCTATAAAAATTGTATCGAAATTATATCGTCCTGTCAAATGTCTTAACGATTTTCATTTTACACTGGCGATTCTCCAGTTTCTTCCAGTCCGTCTGTCTTTACTGACTGCGTTTGAGCGGAGAGTTACTATTAACACCTTCACAATTAAAACTGTATTTCAAGCCTCCTATTGCAGAAGATGCTGCGAGCGGGAAGAACGCATCGGGACGCCTCGGCGCCTAAAGAACCCGAACCTTCAAGCATCCGAACTACAGTTCCCAGGATGCCCTTCTTTCTGCTCTGATGACGCGAAGGAGAGGTCGGAATAGCTTCCCGTGAGAGAGGTCGCGAGGGATAGTTAGGGAAGAGGTTTGTGGCCTCGATGCTGTGAGAGGTCGCCGGGAATGGACGAGGACGGTTTGCCTCTCGTAGGTTCGGGCATCGACCTGACCAAGGTATTGGCGGGCGACCTGGCCTTGCGCATGCGTCGAGCGACTCCGGCCTCTCCCGAAAGGCAGCTTTCCACAGCATCCCCCCGTCTCACCTGGCATTCGGGTGGGGAAGAGAAAGAACCGGGCAAAGGGTGCCCGCTGCCTTCCCCATCCCGTTAAAGCCCCCCTCCCTGCAGCAGTATTTCACAGCTGGCCCACAAATGTGCAAAAAAAATTCCATCCCTGACAAGGAAAGCAGAAGCAAAAAGTTTTAGGATGAAGCAAAATCTGTAACAGCCTCGAATGGGGGCTGAAGGTGGAAGAGACGACAGACGGACAGGATCGTGGCCGTTATTCTTCACAGTAGTTTAGCTGTTGAAATGTGTTTGAATATTACTAGCTCAAGTTGGTAGTTATTAGGCTGTTGGTTTGAGCTCCGAGCCTGGCAATTTGGTAGCAAACTTTTCCTCGCCGTTCGAGGAAATGTCGTCCGTGCGTTTTGAATTGTTTAGCTGAGGAAACCTCCCTGAGTCATCTCTGGGGCGCATATATCCATGTAAATGCATTGATTTAGTTGTTCATGGGGTTGATCCGCCACTCCAAGTAATTTTTGATTCTGTACAGATGGTCCTCGACCTTACGACCACAATTGAGCCCACATTACTAAATGAGACAGTTGTTAAGCGAGTTTTGCTTCATTTTTTACCACTTTACCTGCCGTGGTTGTTAAGTGAATCACTGCAGGTGCTAAGTTAGTGACACTGTTGTTAAGTGAATCTGGCTTCCCCATTGACTTTGTCAGAAGGTTGCGAAGGGGGATTATGTGATTACGAAACCATCCTAAATATGAATGTGAATCAGTGGCCAAGTGTCTGATCACATGACCATGGGGATGTTGAAATGGTGATAAGTGTAAAAAATGGTCCTAAGTCATTTTTTTTAGTGTCATTATAAGGCCACTGAACTTTTGTAAGTGAAGGATTACCTGCATATATATTTAACATCTGTAAATCAGATTGAAACTATATTTTATCTCATTTATTTATTTATTAAGTTTATATGCCATCCATCTCGCAGTCTACGTAAATTGTATATCACTTTAAAAATAAATAAATCATAAAATACCATACCATTTATAGGATTCTACTGTGTTTGCACACAGAGTACATGAATCAAGGAGCCATCCTACCAGGAGAGAGAATAACATTACAATCTTCTAGCACCCACAGCTCCTGACAAGGATTTCCATAGTATTCCTACATTCAAATACAGTTTGGAATAGTAAGAAATTTCTTCTGTCCATGTTCATGGTAGCTCATGCCTTGGTCATCTGCCATTTGGATTACTGCAATGTGTTCTATATGGGGCTGCCCTTGAAGACCGCCTGGAAATTGCAGCTGGTCCAGAATGCAGCAATGTGCAAAGTAACCCTGGCGGGGAGAGTTAGGTTTGCCCTATGTTGCACAAGTTGTACTGCCTTCCAGTTTCTTTCGAAGTGCAATTTAAAGAGCTAAAGAACTTTTAAAGCTCTATATGGCCAGCTTATCTATGTGAGTGCCTTTCCCTAAGGATATGCCCGTCCTGCCAGATCACATAGGATGGGCACAGTCCTAATCCCTTCCCTTAAACATTGCCTTCTCATGGTATCTCAAAGTGTATCTCTTCTATGTCAGCCCCCACCGTAGGGTACACTCTTCCCCCAAAGTTCAGTTGACCTCTACTGTCCTTGTCTTCCATAAAGCTTTGAAGACCTGACTTTTTCCCCAAGCACTGGGACAAGTTATGCTGGCTACACTTCAGAAGTTTGGCTTGACTCCAAGTTTTTGTTTTTAATGCATTTCGTCTTTATGATTTTAAGGTGGCTTTTATGATGTTGTAACTTTAATTGGGAGCCTTGGTTATAAGATGGGTGGCTATATAGTTTTAAATAAATAAAATGTATAAGACAACTTTCCCAAATTGGTGCTTTTCAGATGTGCTGGATACTAGTTCAGCTATTCTAATCAAGCAAACAGCAGGATAAGGATGGTTAATATAATGGGTAAACTTTAAAAAGTTTGAAACTCTTCTAAGATGATTTAAATTTCAATTAAACTAAAAAAAGCTCACAAAACTTTCCCTGAATAGACAAATCTCAAAAATTTCCAAAATTTTCACATTGAAAAGATCTTAGTGTTTGATTCTGGGAAAGAAAAAACAATCCAACATGTATGACAATGGGGAAAATCTTTGATAAGGCATTCAATTTGATTAAGCATTGTGTAATAAATATCTATTGTCAGTATAGCTGACTGCTGAGTTACTCAATACATAAAAAATAAATGTTTTATCACTTCCTTGTTTTTCATTAAAATGATTGTTGCCAATTTCTGTAGATAAGCTATGACATGAGAAATTTTGTGTTAATGTGTTTTCTGGTTATATATTAATCATTTCTCTTGCAAAGAATATATTAGGCATGCTATATTAAGAATGGCTGGTGTGAATTTTCAGTTTGATCATGAACAAATTCCTTACGTTGTTTCTCATTAATTACAAAAGCACTAAGAAATGTAGGATATGATTTTAGCCTAGTTCATTCTCTGACAGCAGTCTATAAAAACAGTGTTGTGAAACTCTAATATGCTTCCAGAATGTTTCCTGTGCCAATTTCAGGATCTGAGATATACAACTCTTATTTATTCAATGTCACTAATAAATAGTTTGGCTTAAATTCAGAAGTTATTCACTTTTATATTTTTAAACTCTTGACTGTCTCATCCTTGTGGTCTTCCATGTTTTAATGTACAGTTGTGGTAAAAGAGAATATGCTTAAGTCAATTGCTGAAAAATTGACAAACTGTAAATTTGGTAAAAGATAAGTTATACTTTTATGCATTTTGGCACATTGCTTCAAATAATAAATTATCACTCAAATACTTGGCCAATCGCAGAGTTTGAATGTATATGTTTAATACTGTGTTTGCTTCATATTAAACAGATATTAAAAGAGCTTGTTTGGTGTAGTAGTTAAGGCATTAGACTGGAAACCGGGAGATCATGGGTTCTAGTCTCACCATAGGCACAAAATCAGCTGGGTGACTTTGGGCTAGTCACTTCTCTCAGCTCTAGGAAGGAGTCATTGGCAAACCACTCATGAAAAATCTTGCCAAGAAAGTGGCAGTGACTTGACCATTTAGTTAATTGATTTCTCTTCAGTGTTGTGTTTTTTCTGTGTTTTATGTAATGCAGGTTCCAGCTATCCAACAAAAGAGAACAGTGGCGTTTCTAAACCAATTTGTGGTTCATACAGTTCAGTTCCTGAATCGATTTTCAACTGTATGTGAAGAGGTAGTACATGCCATACTGTAATTTTCCAAAGCCAGCGTATACTACATTTCTGTATAATGCATGCTTGATACAGAAATAATTTCAATTCTCATTCTCCACCATGAAAAAGTTTAAAAAATGAAGAAAAAGTATAATATGCCAGTGGAAAACATGAAAATGTCTCTATATTCAAAGTTGGCTTGCTAGGCTTTGGCATGTGATGTTTTGGAGAATATTTCTGGAAACTTGGTTTTCATCCTTTATTGTGTTAAACAAGAGGTAGTTATCAGCTTTCATCACCATGGCACCATATTAATCTTTCTGGAGAAGCAATACATTTTTATATGTGAATTTGAAACATACATGGAAAAGTCAGAGTATAGAGCAGAGTCTCCAAACTTGACAATTTTAAGATTTGTAGACTTCAACTCCCAGCTATGCTGGCTGGAGAATTCTGGGAGTTGAAGTCCACAAGTCTTAAAGTTGCCAAGTTTGGGGATCCCTAGTATAGAGAGTTAACATAAGTTTATGAGGGACTTTTCGTTAGAATATTGCCATTTTTTTAACCTGTTAGTATTACTTTGCCGTATTCAGTGATATCTCAAGTTTTTGTCTCTCTAAACTCCAAATTGTTCAGGAATATTGTATTGCTTATCTGTACTTGTTATTAATTTAAAAAAAAACTAAACAGTTGAATCTTGACTAATAGTTTAAATTTCCCAACTAGTCTCTGCCTAACAAGTTCTGGAACTCTGAGACAGTTAATTATCTTTGGTAGCTATCTTTATGTTTTGGCACCAGACTGAAGAAAAAAAAGGTGGCTTTTAATGGTATTGAATACTACATTATTTCTTCAATAATATGCTTAATAAATTTAATAGATTAATTTGCTTATTTACATGTATTTGAGTTCATGATCTCCTCTGTTGCCTATGTAGTGTATTTTAGTATTACCAGAAATTAAGTCTATTCTAAATGGCCTGTGGTGCAATCTGAACATTCAGGGATGCATAGATTAATAAGAGCTCTCTGCAAGTATTGGCTGCTTTAAAATATAGTTAGAATTGGAATTAGAATTAGAATTCTTTATTGGCCAAATGTGATTGGACCCACAAGGAATTTGTCTTGGTGCAAATGCTCTCTGTTGCTGAGTTAATATCTTTTAGTTAAAATTAATTTTTAGCAAAGCTTAATAAAGAAGGATAAATATAATCATATATCAATATGTAATTGTGTCATGTTACTTGTTAATGAAATGAATATTAGCATAGTAGTATATTAAATCAGCTGAACATCACAGTGTAATCAGATATTTCAAACCAACTGTATAATAGCACTTAAAGGATCATTGTCCAATATGTTTCATATTAGTCTCCAAAAGACCGAAGCAATAAGTTTGCTTTTCAGGGAGATGGATTGGGATGATAGGAAAGAGCTAAGTATTACTGGATGGAAAATATGGAGGAGTTAAACGATGCTGAGGAAATTGTTGAGTAATATTTCTCTTCCTTATTCCCAGAAATTGTCAGCACTTTCCCTCCGTATTCAGCAAATTGAAACTTTGCTCAATATTCTGGATGCAAAGGTTTGTTCATGTTATGCCTCTTTTTATGTGGTAGTTTAAACATTCTTAAATATATAATTTGTAAGGTTGTGAGGGTAGATTTCATTTAGATAATATTTGTCTACAAACAAAAATGAGCACATATTTTTTTAGTATTAAAGAAAGTAAAGGAGAACACATAGGAAATAGATACATTCAATAGTGGAAAATGGAGGTAAAGATTTGGGCATATGTAAAGTCTGACAGTCCTAGCATCATGTAACTATACATTCTGAAACTTTGATAGAAGAGAAATGTTTATCAGGTGTTGTATTATGGATGAAAAATTTGTATGTCAATATTAAAATATTGATTTGTGATGTGCCCCATTTTCAGTTATCTTCCGTGCCTGGCCTAGAAGATGAGATCTCAAACACAAGTGTTATGAATGGCTCTGTCTCACAAATGTTGGTAGATCCACAGACAACAAATGTATCACCTAACGTGGAGGTAAACTAGTCTTTCTAAAGCACAATATGACTGTATTCAAAAGTCAAGAAAATCAGAATTATTTGAAAATAACCAAATAGTTGGTGCAAGCTGTTTGTTTGCTCTCATTGATTCTATGAACTAGCCAAATAATACAGAAATATCTATCCATTGATTTGCTACCGTGTTTCCCCCAAAATAAGACCCTGTCTTATTATTATTTTGCCATCAAAAAGGCACCAGGTCTTATTTTCAGGGGGGAAATGTTGTCCACTGACTCATCTCACTTGCATGCATTGCCGGCCTCCTTTTCACTGTCAGGGGCCTTCAGGAACTTCTTCTGTGGCCAGCAAGGCTGGCAAGACTTTCCTGAAGGCCTCTGTAGTTGATATAAGAGCTCTGGATCGATCCAGAGCTCTGCTATCGGCTGCAGAGGCCTTCAGGAAAGCCTTGCCAGCTACAGAAGAAATGGGCCGGCAAGACAGGTGTCAGGGTGTGCAAGGCCTGGCTGCAACTGTCCAAAGGTAAGTAGTACAGCAACTCCACTCCCCATTCCCACCCTAGCTTAATTTTTACTGAAGTGGGTGGGATCTTAATTAGGGCTTATTTTGGGGGTAGGGTTTATATTGGGCACATGTGTAAAAATCAAGCTACGACTTACTTTCAGTGTAGGTCGTATTTTGGGGAAAAAACAGTATCTTTTGTGGTAACTGAAAATTTAGGCTTGCTTCTCTTTAGATTCAAAAGATTCATCTCACTGGACTCCAGTTTGACTTCTAGTGACTTAATAGACTCTTGCCTAATAAGTCCTAAGGGGAAGTAGTTTACCATTGCCGCCTTCTGGGATGCATCTTCAATTCCCCAGTGTCCTCAACTGCGTTGGGGTACACCCAAGATCCCAAGTAGGTCCAACCCTGCATAGCTTTTTGCAGTCAACTAAGCTTGACTAAACTTTGTTACCGTAAAAAGTAAGATATCTGCAATGTCTGGACAGAAATAGAATTCTTGTTTCATAGGCCTTGCTATTCAGGTTTGTGTAACTACTTCCCTGACAGGAGGAGCCAAGCAGGACCAATCAGACTTCAGGTATAAGTTTCTGGTAGAGCTATAAAAATTTTTAACTTAATGTGTTATCCAAATATGGTAAAGTCTGAGGACATGTGAAGACTGGTGTGCGCTGTTTGTTATATTGCAGACCAGTGTACCTGAATTAGGACAACAGAAGACAGATGGAACTAGTGAAAATGTCATCACTGTTGCAAAGGATCCACGCTATGCCAGATACCTGAAAATGGTTCAAGTGGTAAGTCACATTTATTTTACCAGGCTTTATCATAAACATTTGGGCTTCTATTCCCTGAAATTTCCTTTAAACTAAACTTTGTTTTTTGGGGTTAATTGTGAATGTAGATGGAATTTTAAATGCTTTTAGCATAGAAATTAGTATAGAAATTGAGACATAAATATCAAGACACAATTTTCCTCTATGTCTTCCTGTACCAAAACACAATTATCTGTCATGACTAAAAGTACTAATTTGTCATTATGTGCCAACTGTATACATATGTATGTATGTGTGAGGGTGTACTGTATGCACAATCATGATGTCTAGTGGTTTATGTCACTGTTTCAGTTCAACAGTGTTTATTTGTGATATCCAACTTAAAAATCAGTTTAGCTTTAATTTTTGTCGTCGGTGCTGACCATGGCTGTCCCAGAAAACCAGTTGCATTTCATTTATTCTTTCACATATAATTTGTTTTTGGCTCTATTACTTGCTCACAAATGAGCTCCTAGTGAAACAGACAAGCTTTGACAGAGCCAATGGTTTTCTTTTTTAATGCCTTCTGATACTGAAATATGTGCAAAATATGAGCAAGAGTTCAACTTGAATAAAGTAAAGTTTAAGATAAAAAAATAACCGTAAGCCTGGCAAAGTGAAACTAAATTGAATGAATAGGCACTTTTTTTTTCTAATTGTGTATATGTCATTTTGTATATCATAGATTTAAGGGGGAAGTGGTGGCTCAGTGGCTAAGACGCTGAGCTTGTCGATCAGAAAGGTCGGCAGTTCAGCGGTTCGAATCCCTAGCACCACATAAAGGAATGAGCTCCGTTACTTGTCCCAGCTTCTGCCAACCTAGCAGTTCAAAAGCATGTAAAAATGCAAGTAGAAAAATAGGGACCACTTTGGTGGGAAAGTAACAGTGTTCCGTGCGCCTTCAGCATTTAGTCATGCCAGCCACATGACCACGGAGACATCTTTGGACAGAGCTGGCTCTTCGGTTTTGTAACGGAGATGAGCACCACCCCCTAGAGCCGGAAACGACTAGCATGTATGTGCGAGGCGAACCTTTACCTTATATCATAGATTTAATGCAAAGGGGTAAGAAGTTACATTGATAATTCCATTTCAATTGTTATTCATTTGATTTATTTAGCTTCTGATCCTAGTATAATCTCATCACAAAGCAGGTTAGAAACTTGTGGTTTTGTTGGCATTCTCCCTAGTAGGATATGACGACAAAGCAATTTCGATGCACGTTGCATTTGCTTTGCCACTCTTTACAGTTTTGCTGGAAGTATACAGCTACCTATTACAGCCATAGTGCAGTCCTGGGGGGAAATGACATTTGATTTAACAAGTTGTAGCTTGTAAAGCCACTGTGGACTCTGAAACATCTTTTGCTTTTGAAGCATTGAATAATCTTGAAATGCAATGTAGTATTACAGCTCTTTCAGTAATGGTAAAAAATCACAGGAAAATGTAAGCTTTTGTGATTGTACTTTTCCTGGATATTCATGATGATATAAAAGAGTCCAGAGTTGTTTACTGGAGCATGAACAAGGGGAAATGACCTTGGAGGAAATACTATAGACAAGAACTAATATATAAGGAGGACTGAAATATCACTTAAGTCTTAAGGGATAGAAGGCAGTGTTTTCAATCTGAATTACTAGTGGGACTGACAAGTGAGATGGTAGCTGAAAGGAGATTTCTCATTCGATGCTCTTAAATGCATTGGATTTACAATGAGATGTCCATTCAAGGGGAGGCACATTTGCACTCTATGAGCAATTCTTGTTTCAGTGATTGGATGTTGAGTAGGAGAGAAGAATGACCTGCTGTTTTGTTTTTTTACTCAGTCCTTATCCAACATTGCTGATAGTATTCTCTATCATTCAGCTAGGGTTGATGTTCTTAAATATGTACAGTCGGTGGAAGAAAAAAAAGTTTTAAGAATTTGCATACCTGGAATATCAACACAGTTTTTAATGGTTTATGCAAATCTGATGTATGATGAAATGTATGTGCCTGGAAAATTGAATAAAAGATGTTGAATTCTTTGTCTGCATAGTGGCCTATTTCAAATATAACAAATCTTGACCTATTTCAAATATAACAAATAAATAAGGAAAGTGTACATCTAAACTAAGTAGAAGTTAGTACATACAATGCAGACTGAGGAGCATTGATGTGACAAGTAGGACAGATTCTTCCAATCATCACTATTGCTTGAATATCTGTTCATTAGGTAGGTGTTGAGAAGCTGTATTTATATGGGGGTGCATATTTTGACAATGCTTTGGAAGAAATGCTCGATTTCATACAATCCTAGTATTAATTTGCTAAAGAAATTCTGAACCTTTTTCAGCCTTCTAAATGAGCCTGGGGGGGAAATGCTGCTACTTTGGGGACTTCAGTATGAAGCAAAGAGATACTGTCCTCATAGGAGGTCCCAAGTGCTGGATCTTTTTCAAAGCTTGGAGAGCTCTAATAATTTGACCACTAAGGAAATGAATATGTTCTAATCTGATAACCAAAGAATCGGTTTTACTACAGTTCCAGTAAAAAATTTGAAGCAATGTTGGTAATGGCAGATATCCATGTGGAGCTGTTATTAAGATGGGTGTGATAAGTTCAAATGTTTGGTGTAAACTTTAGAGTAAAAGCAGAAGAGCAGTAACCAAGCCAACACAGAGCCTTAGGAAAAGCAACTTTCCATTTTTAAGTTGATACAGAATACAATGTTCTCTATGTAAAGGTGGGTCTGGAAATAAATGACCTTTCCTTTGGAATAATGTGTCTACCTGTTTCATAAATCTTAAGCTAACCTTTAACTAAGCCCCAGGATATAATTTCTCTTACATTAGTTATGTGATACAATTCCTTTTTTACTTAATAATCAATCATGTTAGCATTATCTCTCTGTTAAAGTTATTGGCATGTAAATAATTTGTGGCATTTCATCTTACCCATTCCATCCTTCATATTATCCTTGACAGTTTCTGGGATTAAAACCTAGGTGAGAAATTTTTGTTTTTATTTTAATTTTGAAGCTTTACAATAGTTGAATAGTTCCTCTGAATTAGGAATAGAATAGCAGATTAAAACAGTGGTTCTGAATCTTGGCAACTTTAAGATGCATGGACTTCAACTCTCAGAATTCTTCAGATAGCATGGATATTTTAAAATTGGTTGATGTCCTTGCTTTTCCATGCTCAATTCATGCTCATCAATGCTGTGCAACCAAGTGTGATTTGATGCTTTATTTCTGGCTGCCTTCACTGTTTTGATCAATCTGCAATCCGAGGAAAATGAATTCTTGCACACATTTGATCTCTGCATTGTCAATTATTTTGACATTTCCATTCCCTGCAACGGTCATTTGATATTGGTCATTTTAATGTTCTGGAAGTAGCCAAATTTCTTGCTTTCTTCTTTAATCCTTTTGATCAGATTCAGGGTTTCTTTGGTTTCTGAGAGGAGTGTTGTATCATCAGCTTATTGAAGATTGTTGATGTTCCTTCCTCCAATCTTTATTTCAGTTTTTGATTCTTCAAGTTCTATCTCGAACGAGAAAGTCAAAGGAATGCAACCTTGCCATCCTTCTTGCTATATCTTGAACTAGTTGGGATCTCCATATGGTGTTTCCACAGTAGCTTCCTGATTTGTGTATAGCAACTGCAGCAATTTGACCAGATGTGTCAATGCCCTCAGGACCCTCAGCTTGTCAAGATCGACACAATCAAAGGCTGTCTTGTAGTCAATAAAGCAGATTATGGATATTATGTTCATATTCTTGAGACTTTTCCACAATCCAGAATAGATTTGCAACACAGGCATGAGTTCCATAGCCCCTTCTAAAGAGAGCATGAATGCCTGTTAGTTCCCTTTCAATAGTTGGCACCAGATATTGTTGTATGATCTTAGAGAAAATCTTGGTAGCTTGCTAGGATGATGGCAGTTGTGCAATAATTGGTGCAATCCTTGGCGTCACCCTTTTTTGGCAATGGAATGAACACTGATAGTTTCCAATTCTGTGGCCATGTGTTTGGTGTTGAAAATATCTTGTATATATGCATAATTAAAACGTACCAAATTACTTGATTTTATATATATTTAATGATGCCAAGAAATTCTTGTAAGGCTTCCCCTCCTGCCTAAAAAAGTTATGTTGACCTTATTAATAAACAATTTTTTCCATGGTCATTTCCACAATGGTATAACTTGAGATATCTGTTTAACAACATATACTTCACTGGAGAATTTTAAAATGACAAATTTCTTTAAAGTTCTTTCCTTTTACAATTTTGTGGGGAATTTTCAGCTTTAGATTTGTGATTGCCTTCCCCAGTAAAAATTGTGTACTGTTTACAAATGGAAAAAGTTTAGATAATATTATTATGTAACATTTTCCATTTGTAAGACATGAAAAAGAAGTTCTGAATAACAGAGCACTGCCATCACCACAATTTAGTCTTTGTATTTCAGGTTACATTTTCCATATGGCAGATGGTGACTCCTAGTCATAAAAAAAATTGCAAGCTAACAGTAATGACAGCTTTGTAAATTCCCACTCTTAAACTGCTGAGTTTAATTGTTTTTATTGGAGATAGCTAGTTTTATACTAGGGTAAAGAGTTCCAAGTAGAGACATACAAGGGAAAATATTAATCACCACATCAGCATGGCTATTGCTTTGTTAGTCTTGACCACTGTTTTGCTTTCCTCAACGACATCAATGTAGAGATACTTCTCTGAACAGTAAGTTTTTACTCCCTTCTTTGTAAAATATTGTACTTACCTTGGCCCAAAAGTACTTGGGTTTCATGGCAAAACCAAATCAAAGTCTCTTACATCCTTTTCAGACCTCCAATAAACTTAGAAACTCTCTCTCTCTCTCTCTCTCTCTCTCTCTCTCTCTCTCCCTCCCTCCCTCCCTCCCTCCCTCCCTCCCTCCCTTTCTCCCTCTCTTTCTTTCATGTCAAAGGAATGTTCTATTTGAACTTTGTCAGCAGAAATATGGGAATCGCTTCTCTTGGAACATCTCTAGCAAAGACCTTTGACTTCAGATTGTTCCCAGGAGTCATACTGAAAGAATATGAAAAGAGAATGTTTAGTGATGAATGGTCCACAAATGTTTAGAGAATTTTAGTGGAAAAGACTTTTTCCCTTCATATGCATAATGGGCTAAAGTATACCATTGTGAACAGTCAATATGAAAATCTGGATGTCATGCTACTAGAATTCAAACAGGCCTTTCTGAGTTGAGCATTGTTTTCTTAAGAAACTGTATGGGAGGGCTAAATAAAAGTAGCTTATCCCCCCCCCCCCCCCCCACCAAAATTGAGATAAAATATGCTGTAAGATTAGTGAAGGTAATTGCTGAGAATAGTTGTACGCTATACACAACCATTGATACAAAATATATCTTTCTATTCAGCTGGTAGAGTTTACCTTTGCAACATGAAAGGACACAGTACTGATAATGTGTAACCTTCATATAAATACAAACACAAGTATGGTCTAGACCAGGGGTGTCAAACTGGTGGCCCGCAGGTTGGATGCATCACATACAGGCCATGCCCACCCCAGGTCCGCAAAGGGAAAAAACACTGTGATACATCACGTGACAGCAATGTGATGCGGCGAATTTGACACCTGTGGTCTAGACCATCATCTACATTTATGATTTAATGAGAAGCTAGAGGTTTTTTTTTCTACCAACTGCAACAAGCCAACTGTATTGGAAAGGATAGTCCCACACTATCTGTCTTCTAGCATAGGTGCATTTCACGTATGGAACACAAGTTTATTTGTCATCTCTGCCTGGAATCTTGCTACTGCTGCCATTTTCTTACACAGTCAAACTGGTTCCAGTGATGGCATGGCTTCTATTGTAATGTCACATCGATTGGAAAATAAAGTTTTGTTTTTGTCTTAAATGGTGCTTTTGAACCATGTTTTATGGTGAAATAAACAATATTGTTCATTTGCTGCAAATTACCTTAGATAAATAAAGATGCTATTTCATAATGCTTGGGAACACAAGTGGTCTTTCATATTCTGGTTTGCATTGGACAGCTAAAATGATGGATTAAGTAATCCTTTCATCTAATCTAACCTGGTGGCTTTCAGCCCTCTAAGACTATTTTAAAGGTTGGAAGAAATTGGATTGAATTTTGGTCTATTACTTAATTTGCAGTGTGGTCATTTTGTACTTTCCTTGCTGCATTAGCTGTTTGGTTTCCCTTGACTTCACTTCTGTGATCATTTTGCCAAATTCCAGCTGCTTTTACAGTGATACTTAATTTTGGCCCACATCATGCAACAGATATGGGTAGTGCCTAAAAAGCAGTACTGAGCTTCTTGAAATATTTAGTTGAGTGTATCCACTGCCTATCATACTGGTTTTTTTTTTTAATTTAAAGCAAATCTGTCCTTATGGATCCTGGAATAAATTGTTCAGAATTATTTTCAAATGGAAAAGTATATCCCTTTTTTTTTATATTACTGGCATCCATCATAGCCGTCAAACACTAGGAAGCATAAAGTTAGAGAGGCTGCTTATAAATCAATCAAAATAAAATTTGTCATTAGTAATCAAAGTAATTGTCTCCATTCGGGGCCTCTTTCTTGGTGTTTTTCTTGGTGCTTATGTTTGGGGTAGGACTCCTATGTTCAGAGCTTCTCACATTCTTTTTATTTCCTCCACAGGGTGTTCCTGTTATGGCAATAAGAAACAAAATGATTTCTGAAGGATTAAACCCAGATCTTCTTGAGTAAGTAGCAATATCTGTTTTTCTTAAGCATTATTTACATGGAACCTAAATGGAACTGATAATTTGCATGTATTTTCCCAATTCCCAAGATTTATCCTGAGATAATACAGTCTTCAGAAGAACAAAAGTTGTACAGCTGTGCCCAATTGGTTGAGAAATATTCTTTTCAATTATGTGGAAATAGGCATAGTAGTTAGAAATTTATGAAGTGTTCTTGGAATGCTCAGTGAGCCTGCCAACAGCTCTATGAAATCATCCAGAGTTACCTCCTTATTGCAGAATTGTGAAGTCAACTGAAAGTTGACCTAAACTAAGCAAGATGTGAACTTGGAACCTTCCACTTTGCTTACTTAAGCCATTTCACAATACCAGTTATCTAGCCTTCCTGGATTTTACATCCAGAGAAAAAAAAACTTTTATATAATAGTTTCCACCACTGTATCCCCATCTGTTTATGGCATACCTCTAAGTACAGATGCTTTTCTTGCCTAGTGAGCATTTTATTGATTAATTTCATTTGGTTGATGATTGTAGGTAGGTGGTGACCAGGTTCACACAATACCCTGGACCATAATTTTATTTGTTTGGCTTTAATTAGGCCATTAGTGCCACACTGGACCACTGCTTTGTCTTAGCGCACTTGGTTGATAAATATACTACTATACCAGGTACCAGGCAAACTTTTTACTGCTGTTATCGATCTAAAGTCAGCATTTGACTCAGTCCCTAGGGGACTGTTGTGGTCAAAACTGCTCAAAAGTTCTATCGATAGACGTCTTCTGTTCCTAATTAGATCCTTGTACAACCAGACCTCTACTCAGGTCAGGTGTGGTCTGCAGGGAGAACTTTCAAATCCTATCCCGATTAAGAAAGGAGTAAGGCAGGGTTGTGTTCTGGCTCCTCTTTTGTTTAATTTATTCTTATCTGACTTGGCCTTTCACATTGGATGTATTGAGTCCCACGCCCCAAAGATGTCAACTACGAAGATCCCACTTCTCCTTTATGCTGACGATGCGGCCCTTCTTTCATTGTCAAGGCCAGGTCTGAAAAGATTACTTTCTGCATTCAGGTCCTACTGTGCTGAGAACCACTTGTCTGTTAATTACAACAAATCCAAAGTATTGGTGTTCTCTAGAGCCCGGAAATTCTATAACTGGGCTATCAATGGTAATGCTGTTAAGCAGGTTTTCCATTTTAAGTATTTAGGTATTCAATTTCAGAACACTGGTGCTTGGACTAGACATCGAACCCAGGTACTGAATTCAGCCTCCTGTAGTCACCAGCAGATTTTAAGATTTTTTTTATACCTAAGGTGGCCAGTTTATTCCTTCTGCTCTGCGTATTTACAAAGCCAAAACTTTGGCTCAAACTCTTTACAGAATTCCCATATGGATACGGGGCTTCAAGGATTGTACTGAAAGAACCCAGGCTGTCTTTTTTAGAAAACGTCTGGGTCTTCCTTGTGTTGGTTTTGCTCTGATGTACCTGGAACTGGGCACTCGATCAGTCGAATGTATGGCGTGGATTAACACCTTTAAATGGTGGTTTCGGGTGCTCTTTCTGGCAGTTCCTGGTAGTTACCTCTCCCTGGCGTTTGCTGACTCTCATATTTCTTGTTGGGAGAGGGAGCTGATTAAGAAATTACACCTGCTAGGTTTTATGGGGGATGCCCTGGGAGATTATGGCCTTAAGGACGCCCAATTTAGGATAGTCCAATGGCTTGTGGACATTGACTTGCAATATCTATGAGCCAGAGCTAACAAAACTTGCTCCCCTCTGATCTTCAGCCAATTTAATAATTACGGACTGAGGATGGCTTCCTATTTTTACACTCTAACCATTCCCAAGTATAGAATAGCTTTCTCCCTAGCTCGCTTTAATGTCTTGCCCTCAGCAGTACTGGATGGGCGATTTAAGAGGCTCCCGATTAACGAGCGGCTATGCCCCTGTGACAGAGCTGAGATTGAAACTGTGGAGCATGTCCTTTTATATTGCCCTATGTATAACGCAGACAGATCTAAGTTACTGTCTATCCTTGAAACAGACCCTTCTAGACCCAATGTTAGTAATTTGTTCTTATATTGTCTAGGGCAGTGGTCCCCAACCTTTTTTATGCCGCGGCCCGGTACCGGCATCAGCTGGGTGCCACGGCCCGGTACCGGCATCAGCTGGGCGCCGCCATCTTGTTTTGATGAAAAAGTGCTTCCGGTGAGCTTTCTACCCGGAAAAGCTCACCGGAAGCACTTTTTCATCAAAACAAGATGGCGGCGCCCAGCAAACCAGCAGCCCGGTAGGATTTGTTCCACGGACCGGTACCGTTCCGTGGACCGGTGGTTGGGGACCCCTGGTCTAGGGGATGGCTCCTCTTACATCACTTCTCAGGTTTCCAAATTTTTTTTAACAGCTGTAACCATCAGAGGAGAACGCTGTAATTCCCCTTAGTCAAGTTTTTGGTGACCAATTGTTCATGATTAATTTTCCCATGTTCTTCTTTTATTGTACTTGTGTTTTGGTCTGTGACCGCAAATAAAGTATTATTATTAATACCAGTTATCTAGTCTTCCTGGATTTTACATCCAGAGAAAAAAAAACTTTTATATAATAGTTTCCTCCACTGTATCCCCATCTGTTTATGGCATACCTCTAAATACAGATGCTTTTCTTGCCTAGTGAGCATTTTATTGATTAATTTCATTTGGTTGATGATTGTAGGTAGGTGGTGACCAGGTTCACACAATACCCTGGACCATAATGTTATTTGTTTGGCTTTAATTAGGCTTGTTGTTTTTTTTAATTTGTTATGCACAGCAGCAGTCCTCAACCTTGCAGCATGACGGCCCAGCTGTGGGGGACAGGGAAACTGGGGCATGTGAGTAGCAGGCCAGCACACATGTTCTTGCAAGTTGAGCTATGAGCATGCACATCCACGCTCTAGCCAGCCACTCACATGGCCCAATTCCAAATAGACCACAGCTCATTAGTAGGCCACAGCTCAGGGGTTGGGGACTCTTGATGTACAATATAATTACATTTATAATGATGACCTAATCAATGTATTGTATGAGCCCAGCTGTTATCCAATTTCTCAGGTCCAGAAGTCATTTTTATATCTATATGAAGCCACTTTTTAAGGTTCTGAATGCCTGAAGACATAAAAGCTCACATTGTTGAGATATCCTTGCCTTTCTGTTTCAGAACACCAGATGCTCCGGTGCCTGCATGGGGAGATGAGACAAATGCAGGAGAAAGTTCTGATAGCGAATCGTCATTTAGCGACTAAGAGTGTTGCCTTTGGTGGGAAAATGTTTAACTTTTCCTTAAAAACACTGTCTAGTCTTTCTCTCTGTTAAATGCTGATGTACAAACTTGTAACATGCTTTCCTGAATTTCTTGAGCCATATGAGGTATTCTCTAAAAGCAGCAGCTTTGCACAGTAATATATTCATTTTGTATAGACTTTAGACTAAAAGCCCGGTTCAGGAAAACTGGCACATTATGTAATTACATTACCTTATATAAGATGTGGATGTCTTTGACTTGAGTAAATGTTGTCCTAAGAATATCCAGGGTAAACCTGAAGATGGGACTGGACTCACACCCTCTTTCCATCTAAATTATGGTGCCCTCCATCGCTTTTGATAGCACATCATCTTGTAAATTACAAAAAATATTTTTATGTCTATTCCTGGTAACCATTCAGAATTCAGTGAATGCTGATCTGTGTCTCCATGTTGTAGGAGAATTCAAAGCCTTTGGGATGGGTGCACACATTTCGTCTGTTCCATGATTTAAGAGTTGGAAATGGAAGTGACAGGAAGAAGGACAAAAGGGAATGCTGTCTGTTTGAAATGAATGGTCATCATTTTGTTTGGGCAAGTTACTAGACGTTTTTATACAGCCTCTCATTTTTCTTTCTCAGAGTAGCCATTTACCAACATTTGCAAATATTACCTTTGGATAGGAGCAGATTGTATCACTGTTATCCTGCCTGGCAAAGCATATGTAGTCTTTCCTTATTATAAAAATTTTCTTCTTGAGAATTACAGTGAAATCAGTATATAGAAGATATAAAATATGTAAAAATGTATAAATTCTGAACACTGTTAGAATGACATAATCTCCTAACCTTTCGCATGATAACAATGTACTGATAAATTGAAGGGGAGTTATAACTAAACAATCCACAACTTTACATTGTTTCAAAAGGCTGCCATTTACTCATCAATCCCCCCCCCCCCCAAAAAAAAAAACCATTGGTCTTCTTGTAGAGAAACTTAGTAATGAATGATTACAAACATATTCTTCTAGATTTTTTTTAAAAAAGAAAAAAACTACTAGGCCCCTTCATGTATTAAACAATGCATATATTTTCAGAGTTTGGCCAATTTTATCAATAATGTGAATTTCACTAAAGACCATAATAAATTTTAAGTATTCGGTAAGTGTGCATAAATGAACTGCATTTTCACAAAGCGCTAAGCCCAAATCAGACACAATGTCTTAAGATATAAGAAGTAAATATTTAACACATCCTATCCCCAATATTTTATTGTGCTCTACTTCTCCCAATAATAGAAAATGTTTTCAGTACTGTTGATTATCTCTGAGCTGGAAGTCCTAATTAGTCATTAAAAATATACTCTGGTGTTTAAAATGTATTTACAGCTCCTAGTTTGTTTGAGAGTCTGGTTGAAATCTATCCTTATTCTCACCCCTCCTAATGCATTTCTGGCTACTTAAGCATCTTCTGTCATCCAGAGAAACCAAGAACGAGCCGGTGTGCTGTAACATGCATATGAACAAAAATCCAAAATAATTTATGGTTTTTGCACTTATGTTTCTTTACTGGAACATTTAAAAACAATACATTACTATTATTCCATTCCATCTGTCTGACTGCTGTTAGCTGTGACTTTTCCACTTGGAGGAAAATAAATGTATTGAAGCAGCCCTCAGACTGTCTTCCCACGTCACCCGTCTGAGTTTGTTTGAGGTCTACTAACACATCCTCTATATAACAGAAGCCAAGATTTCCATTATGTAGCAATATCAAAGTTCAAAGAATCTCTGAAATATGGTCTTCTTGGTTAGCAGCACTGTAGCTATGGCTCTGAACTGGAATCTCTAGCTAAATGAGTTGGGACAAAGCATCCCAGACCATTTATTGCAACCTGTTTCACAAAGGGTCAAGGCATCTTGTTTCAGGGAAGACATTTAGAAGTGTAGCATGTTGGTATAAACTAGTATTTTGATTTGCTGCCTAATGAAATGCACAAAATATTCTACAGCAATTGGAACTTAATTTTGTATTATTTGAAAATAAACATTTGTAATTATAATTACATTTTGTACTTTAAAATGGTAGCTCTATTGTTCATGTAGAATTTCTTTGGAAATAACAAGCAAATCTGGAAAATCATAATTTAAATGCATGAATTACATTGATATAGATTGTATTGCAACAGGAAACAAATTGTTCTCCGATAGTGTATCAAATTATTAAAATGTAATTTATGTACATTTTATGTAAATTTATGTAATTATTAATACATAGTAATACATGTGCTTCATTAATACATTAAATCAGTAGCAAAGGAATAATTATGTTTAAAAGACAAGTTCTAATTAAATTTTATTTTAAAAAATATTTCAAGGCAAAAACTTTTATTTGGCCTGAGTAAGAAAGCTAAATTATTAAGTGAAAAGCTATATTTGACTCACAGATTAGTAAAAATAAAGCTGTAATTATTTTCCCATCCAGTTTCACAAACTGCCTGAAAACCAATCTGTAGACTCCAGAGTAAGATTCCCTGCTTTAGATCTATAGAGCCCCAACCAACCTACAAAGGCCAAGTTCATATTATTCATTTTCCTACTAGATTATCGCATTTTGTAAGTACAAACAATCCATTGAATTGCACTGTATACTAACCAAACAGAACTGTTGTATGTGTTCATACAACATGCTTAGTTTCTTTTAAAAAAAGTTTAACATGTTGCACAAATGTATCCATTTGCCTTTTAGCAGACCTAGTTCATCCTGTTTGTTTATTTGTTTGTTTGGTTATTGAATTTATATTTCCACCTATTCGCCCATGGCAACTTGAGGCGGCTTACAGAATGTAAAACCATATTTAAAATGAAAAACAATAAAAGCTAACAAAAAGAATCAAATAAATTAATAAAGTACAATAGAACAAAATATAGAAAATAGAAAAATAAAAAATCATTCCCCCAACTCCCACCCCTCGCTCCGACGACAGCAGATCACATGAGCCATTTGATCAGCTCCATCCCACTCTGGGTTCCCCAGCCCCGCTGGCAGAACCAGGTCTTCAGTGCCTTCTGGAAGAGTATTAGAAAGGGGGTCATTCTAACCTCTGAGGGAATGATATTCCAGAGAGAGGGAGCCACCATGGAGAAGGCCCTTCTCCTGGGTCCCACCGGGTGTATCTTCCTCAGGGATGGGACCCGCAGCATTCCCTGCTTTCCCGCTCTGATGGGTCGGGTAGATGTGACCAGCAAGAGATGTTCCCTCACATAACCTGGTCCCAAGCCATGAAGGGCTTTAAAGGTGACAACCAGCACCTTGAATTGCACCTGGAAGCAAATTGGCAACCAATGCAGCTCCCGCAGGAGAGGTGAAATGTGCACACCGGGGTCTGCATAAAACCATGAGGGCTGCTGCATTTTGCACCAACTGGAGCTTCCGGATGTTCTTCAAGGGCAGACCCATGTAGAGTGCATTGCTATAATCAAGACGGGAAGTGACTAGGGCATGAGTGACTGTAAGTAGGGACCATTTTATTATATTACAACCTTTTTATTATATTATGTTTTATTATATGACAACCCTATTGCCAAAAAACAATAAATCCAAGTTTAAAAAACAATTCAGTTGGATATTATAATGTTTTTTCTAACTGAAACTGGAAAACTACAAATACCTAAAGAGAAGTTTTCTTGCTGAAAAATAGAATAAAAGTTCACTCTTATGCTATTTTTCAATAAGAAAACTTCTCTTTAGGTATTTGTATCAGGTTACCTTGGCATTTAAAAAAATGTGCTGGTAAATAAAGTAACATTTGCCTGACAAAAGGGCTAGTTGAAAATTAAAAGCATAGATAACCCATCATAATAATCTGGAGAAAGCCTGCTGTTATATTTTGTCCACCTTTACCATACAAACAATGCTCACAAAGCAATTTCATGTCATCAGTGGAGAAAATATCCTGGATTTCACTAGAACTATCTCACTAGCTTTAAACATGCCAGTCTTTGATTTCCTTTATTAAGAAACAGAGGTAGAACAGCCAAATGTATTTATTTATTTTATTAGATTTTTATCCCACATGTATTATTGTATAAGAAACTCAAGGCAATGAACACTCTTTCCTCCTCTTTTCCCCCCACAGCAACCTTGTGTGATGGGTTGGGCTGCCCCAAGCTTTTCAGGAAAGCCCAAGACCAGCTTTCATGACTAAGGCAGGACTAGAACTCCCGGTCACCTGATTTCTAGGCTACCATCTCAACCACTACACCAAACCAGCCAAACAAATGTGCAGAAGAGCCTTTTTTGTTTATTGCATTTATTATTCACCAAATAGCCAAAGTTTTCTGGGATTGCTAGGATGAAACATTTCCCCAAAATTCAAGAAGAAAGCATGAAGGACAATGTGAACAGAATTATCCACTTGCAAATTATCACATAATAAAGGAAGGAAATAGCCTTTCTGTCAGTTATTTAAATAGAAATAAAAATCCTGCATGATACTGACCTCAAATATTTTTCAGTGTATTAATTTACGTCATTGTTTTTGGTACTTTATAACAATTACATTGCACTGTTCTTGCCTAAGGGATTGAAATGATTTAAAAAGCAAAAATGTTACCAGGTTAGCTATATCTTTCATTCAAACTACAACAGGCCAAGATAAATTGAAAGTGGATATTTTTTCCCCTTCCATTTTTTTTCCCTTTCAGCTAAATAAGTTCATTAGTTACAAATCTATTGGGAAGTCATCAGATTGCTTAAACTGCTTAGCTCAGATTGGCACTGACTATTAGACTCTTTTATGGAATCTTTGAATTGTACAATGAAAGATCAAATGGGATATTTTTTAAAAGAATAGAGCATTATGAATTACATCTGTTGGAATGAGATTGAATGGATTTATATCAATATTTAAAAATAAAAGATGTTAAGCATATTTTCCTCAAAATATCATTGATTACTTGACCTAGACTAAAATATGTGTGCAACAATTGGCCCAATTTATAAAGAATATTTTATACTTTCATAAAATTTATGGGGACCTTAACTATTCATCCCCAGCTGAAACTGGTAAATTTAGCACTCCTATAAATCCAGAGAATCTTTGTAATTTTAACATATAGCATTTTCTAAGGAAAATTCAAAACATTTGAACACTTAACATTAAAAATATAGTATGAGAAGATTTTTTCCTCAAGTTCAAATTTAAAAGTATGAATGGTGAATGATATCCTAATTTTTTTACAGTAATTATTTTGAGGGCCATAGAATCTCCATCCTGGACCAAAAGATTGATTTCAGGCCATGGTAATCACAGTAAAGTAAATTTCATTTAAGCCTTCCTCCATCCCATCATTTGATTTTTGTCCTGCCACAATCTCATAACTCTTGTTTACAATATCAGAACGAAAGCATAATTAAAACAATGTACAATCCCAAAACTGGGTGTGCAAAATGTGTGTTTTCAGAAATAGTGATAATTTTAAAAAACTATATTTCGCCACAAGAGTGCCAGGATATGAGTGCCAGTTAAGTCTAGAAGGCTCACTTTTAATGGCTGTGATGTGTTATTCTTTGATGTGGTGAAAAAGTGTCCCTTTGAAAAATGTGGTAAATTGAATCCTGACTGAGTTTGAATACCCTAAATTCAAACTTTGTTCCTGAAAAAGCCCCTCTCTCATATATCCCTTCTTATGCACAGATAAAACAAGTGAAAATGAATCAACCTCAGAAGATTGTGGATTCAGCCACCAGCTAATTTTCTGGTAAGGTAACTGCAGGTAGAAAACAACCTCTTGCTGAAATTCAGGTGATTCTAAATAGCAATAGCACTTAGACTTATATACTGCTTCATAGCACTTTTACAGCCTCTAAGCGGTTTACAGAGTCGGCATATTGCTCCCAACAATTCGGGTCCCCATTTTATCCACCTTGGAAGGATGGAAGGCTGAGTCAACCTTGAGCCTGGTGAGATTTGAACTGCCAAATTGCAGTCAGCCGGCAGTTAGCAGAAGTAGTTGCAGTACTGCACTCTAACTAGTACGCCACCATAATTTGCTATATCACGCACATGTTAGAGAACTGCTGTGGGAAAACATCATCTCCCATTCCAAATTGTTTTCACTCCTATTCTCCATCATACTTTCTCAGCATTAGAGGTTGGCTTTCACAACTGTCCTTTTTTCTCCAGAAATTCCCTTGTATGACTCCTTATGCAGTTGATTGGATTTTATTATTCCCACAGCAGACAGGGTGGAGTTAACCCTATGTGTAACTGGGTCATCCTGGGGCTAAATTTAACCTTGCTGGAGTTAGTTGGCTGGGTCAATCGACTGCTTTTTCATATTCTCACACAACACCCTAACCCAATATTG